TACAACAAAATACAGCAAACAGCAAAATACATAAAAATAAATAGCAAAATAAGATACATGCTGAATTTCAGCACTGTATTATGTTTGCTACTGCATACATACTGTCTCAATGTGATACAGGGAAAAAAAATTTCATGTTTTCAGGTTCTGCCATATGGGGCGTGAATTGTAAAGTGGAGCATACTGAAATTAACATTTTGCCACATTTAGTTCCAAATAATAATAATAATAAAAAAGTGACGTGAAAGTGTTTTTTTTTAACCAAATACAGTCATTTTTGTGAACTTTGTGATATGTACTTTTCCTAAAATAAATAAATAAATAAATGATATAATGTTGATGTTAAATGTAAATGTTAAATCTAAATATTTAATCTGAATCTAAATTTTAAATGTTCCATCTAAATATTAGATCTATATCTAAACATTAAATCAAAATCTATATTAAAGCTAAATGTTTAATATAAATCTACATCTAAATATTAAATCTAAATTATATTATATAATAAAGTTGGTTTTTAACCAGATACAGCAACATTGTGAACTTTGTGATATTTACTTTTCTTAAAATAAATGAATAAATGATATTATGTTAATGTTAAATGTAAATTTTTAATCTACATCTAAATTAAAGCTAAATGTTCAAAAATAAATCTACATCTAAATATTAAATCTAAATTTTAAATGTTAAATCTAATTAATAACAACAACAATAATAATAATAATAATAAAAAAATAATAATAATGGTAGGTCTTCTGGCACATTTGCTCATCAGTTGTTATCAGTTATTACTGTGCTTGTGTTTTAACATATATATATATATATATATATATATATATAAGAAAAAATGAGGACAGAAATGTGTATACCTATGAATCCATATCCATGATGGTGACAGAACACTGTATTAAGCTAATTAACAGGAGAAAACTGAACTGAGTTTGATTTTAGATTTCATCATCAGTGTCTTAGTCTCCTCAGGTTCTAGGAGGCGAGTGGGTGTATGTCAGTGTGTGTTAGTACTTGTATCTTTGTGGGGACCAGTTCTAGACCTCTAGACCTAGAGTGAGGACATGTTGTCTGGTCCTCACAACGTCAAGGGCTGTTTGAGGGTTAAGATCTGGTTTTAGAGTTCCGGTTAGAGTCAGGCCCAGGTTGTGTGTGTGTGTGTGTGTGTGTGTGTGTGTGTGTGTGTGTGTATCGAGCATTCCCTCCTCAAACTGAACATCAAACTGTTTGCTGAGCCTACAGGTGTACGGATTTTACCTTTATCTTGAGTTAAAGTGAAGCTTTTAAAAAGCAGCAGCAGCATCCTGAGGAGAGAAACACACACAGAGACAGACAGGCAAAGCCAGAGGGAGGAGGGAGGAGTGCACATGATGCTGCCATGACTCACATCTCTCTTTCTTTTAGGGATTATTGCAGAGGATTTCAGCTTTGTGGACAGTTTTGTGTTCCCCTACTTTTAGTACTGGCCTTTCATCACAGCCCGAGAAAGTATGGATGAATATTGTAGGAATAATATATATTTAAAAAATAGAAGCATTGACTGCATTCAAAAAAATCGTCATTGAGGATTCTGAAGTGTCCTAACCCTGATTCACTGCTCTGTCTGTCTTAAAGTCTAAACCCCTGCTAGTGGCCCCTAGAGGCCACACACTTCATTACAGCCCACAGTGTGAAAATGTTGGAGACCAAACAACACACTGATGATTTTTGTATAATCAAAGACTGAAGTTATAAAGATAGTGTGGGGCTGGGTAGTGGTGCTAGAAGTCATGTGGTCTGTGACCCTGTTCATCTCCCTTAGATATGCTTGGCCTGAAGGTGGCAGTAGATGAAAAGCTCAGGGAAAATGAAAATATTAAAGCATGAGTCTACTCAAGTTAATCACAACTAAAGTATTACTTTCCTAAATAAATCATAATATATAAGTCATTGGCTGCTTAATAGCTGGGATCTGACAACACAGTGACGTCAATGAAAAAACTGATGGGGAAACAAAAGTTCAATATTTTTCATGCTGACATTGGGAGTAAGATGTGAGTTAAAAGCTGCATTGCTATAAAAAACTTAAGAAATAACAAATTTGACTGGAACATCTGCGTGTGATTACTGCATCTGCTGCCATCACTGCCGATGATTGAGACAAAAAGGACGTTGTAGTGGTGAAAGCAAGGGACATGAACATAGATGAAAATAAGTATAAACGTATTAGTACATGAAAACATCAATAAAAGGCCACATGGACCAGGTGTTTAATTTCCTCTAGCCTTTACATTTTTACAAATATTAGTGATTTTATGTATTTCGAATTAGAAAGATTATAACTCATTTATTATAAGAGATATCAACAATCTATCTAACAGCTCATATGGTTGAGTCATGCTTGACATTTTAAAAGTGGAACCATGTTTCCAGCCATTAGGTTCTCATAGTAGTGGCTAATGTACATTATTTGTATTAAGCAATATTTGTTTTATTACTATAGTGTCAAAATTGCATGAAACTCGGCAGCCTTATTCATGGTTCCAGTCTGTACACTTGAGCGAAATTTGGTTGCAATTAGATGAAGCTTTTAAAAATTCGAGCAGGTTGGTTGGATTTCACCACACCACTGCATTGCTGGATATTTGTTGTGCACCATATATACAGTGGTACGAAAAAGTTTAGGCACCCCTCTGAGGCGTGCCATTCATTTTCTAATAAAAGCAGAGTACTGGGGTATTTTCCAGACAAACATTTTTAGTGTAGCAATATTAAGTTGTATGAAATTAAATCAGATGTGAAAAATAGGCTGTGCAAAAATTTGGGCACCCTTGTCATTTTTTTTGATTTGAATACCTGTAACTACTTAGCACTGATTAATTGGAACACAAAATTGGTTTGGTGAGATCATTAAGCCTTGAACTTCATAGACAGGTGCATCCAATCATGAGAAAAGGTATTTAAGGTGGCCAATTGCAAGTTGTTCTTCTCTTTGACTCTCTTCTGAAGAGTGGCAACATGGGGGCCTCAAAACAACTCTCAAATGACCTGAAAACAAAGATTGTTCAACATTATGGTTTAGGGGAAGGCTACAAAAAGCTATCTCAGACATTTCAGCTGTCAGTTTCCACTGTGAGGAACATAGTGAGGAAATGGAAGACCACAGACACAGTTCTTGTTAAGGCCAGAAGTGGCAGGCCAAGAAAAATATCGGAGAGGCAAAGGCGAAGGATGGTGAGAACGGTCAAAGACAACCCACAGACCACCTCCAAAGACCTACAACATCATTGTGCTGCAGATGTCACTGTGTCACTGTGCATCGTTCAACAATTCAGCGCACTTTGCACAAGGAGAAGCTGTATGGGAGAGTAATGCAGAAGAAGCCTTTTCTGCACACACGCCACAAACAGAGTTGCTTGAGGTATGCAAAAGCACATTTCGACAAGCCAGCTTCATTTTGGAATAAGGTGATGTGCACTGATGAAACAAAGATTGAGATATTTGGTCATAACAAGGGGCGTTATGCATGGCGGCGAAAGAACACAGCATTCCAAGAAAAACACTTGCTACCCACAGTAAAATTTGGTGGAGGTTACATCATGCTGTGGGGCTGTGTGGCCAGTGCCGGTACTGGGAATCTTGTTAAAGTTGAGGGTCGCATGGATTCCACTCAATATCAGCAGATTCTTGAGAATAATGTTCAAGATACAGTCACAAAGTTGAAGTTATGCCGGGGCTGGATATTTCAACAAGACAACGACCCAAAACACTGCTCAAAATCTGCATTCATGCAGAGGAACAAGTACAATGTTCTGGAATGGCCATTCCAGTCCCCAGACCTGAATATCACTGAAAATCTGTGGGAAGATTTGAAGCGGGCTGTCCATGCTCGGCAACCATCAAACCTAACTGAACCGGAGATGTTTTGTAAGGAGGAATGGTCCAAAATACCTTCATCCAGAATCCAGACACTCATTAGAGGCTATAGGAAGCGTCTAGAGGCTGTTATTTTTGCAAAAGGAGGCTCAACTGAATATTGATGTGATTTTTCTGTTGGGGTGCCCAAATTTATGCACCTGTCTAATTTTGTTTTAATGCATATTGCACATTTTCTGTTAATCCAATAAACCTCATTTCACTACTGAAATATTGCTGTGTCCATCAGTTATTTGATTGATCAAAATGAAATTGCTGATCCAAACACCCAATGATTTATAAATGAAAATAATGGAAATTGTCAGGGGTGCCTAAACTTTTTCATACCACTGTGTGTGTGTGTGTGTGTGTGTGTGTGTGTGGTGCTGCTACCAACACAGACTGTGCATGTGTGCACCCCTGTGACAGTTTCCCCTCTGCCCAGTAGGGGGGACTTGAGGCTCGGAGGATAGAGTCTTTCTCTCTCTCTCTGCTTCCCAGTCCATTTCTATGTCTCTCCACCATCTTCACCCCCTGGTACCGGTAACAGCGCTAAAGAGAAAGAGAGAGAGAGAGAGAGAGAGACAGAGTGTGTAAAAGAGAGAGAGAGTGAGAGAGAGAGAGAGAGAAAGAGAGAGAGAGAGAGAGAGATATGAACGGATGACATAAAACGATGCCGAGAGAGCAGGACGAGAGAAAGAGAACCGGACTGCACGCGCTCAGACCCCTTCATGTGTGTACCTGGAATATTTGCGGAATTTTTCCTCCTCTTCAGTGGTGATTTTGTGATCGAGCAGAGAAGCCGTGACTGGCATCATCAATACTCCTGACATACCCACACACACACACACACACACACACACACACACACACACACACACACACACACACACACACACACACGTATGGATACGCACAGACGTGAAGGGAGATGTTTTTGATTCTAACATTACGACTGAGAGAATAAGGTGAGGACAGGGGGACCACACGCCCACCTCCGCGCGGACCGGACTTGAGAGCGGATTTGATCTGATCCATTTATATATATATATATATATATATATTTTTTTTTTACTGCTGCTGTAAAGTTGCTCAGAGATCTGCGGACTTGAATCCAGACAGTATGGATGGATGTGGCGCGGTATTTGGCGCATTCGGCGTCCGTCGCCCTCCCAGGATATGGTGCTGCTGGAAGGTTGTCTTTCTGCTCAGCGCCTTCTTTCACAACTACCTGAGCTCCCTGCTGGACTGCCCGCCCACCTGCACCTGCTCGCCCACGGAGATCTACTGCAATAAGTCCGACAACAGCAAATTCTTCCCGCTGCTGTCCTTCCAGGGCACCGGGAGCGCCGGGAACAGCAGCGGGAGCATCGAGGACCTTTTCCAGAACATCACCTCAATGTAAGTGCCGCCGCTGCTGCTGCTGCTATAGCTCAGACACGTCCTGTAGCTGTGAGTGGTTTTCATTAGAGCTGCCTGTGGAAATAAATCACAGCTGAGGCTATTGATGTTTTGATTGCGGAATTTTTATTTTATTTATTTTCATCTATTTTGGACGAAAAAAAAAAAAACAACCCATCGCACCTTCAATGAATCTACAGAAAAAGAGCAAATCCTGTATGAAATACAGGAGGTGACATCCTCAGAGTCTGCAAATGCTCCTCAGTTTGATGCTTTAAAACCTTTTTGGTTAAATTTGAGTTTCTCTTGCAGGAAATTCATCAAAAGCAACTTTAAATCATCAACATATGTATGGAAATTCTAGTTAGAGGCAGCCTCAAACAAGGCCTTATTCAACACTTAGAATAATTCACCAAGTCAGGGGTTAAATCCCTCCATCATTAATGTGAGAGCAAACAGTCTCACCTCAGGTCTGTTGAGGGAACCTGATCCTGAAGGATATATTGTTGAGATTTCAGCCTGTCACACCTGTGATGTAGTGGTCTGTAAAACAGCAGAGTAAAGTGGATCTTATATGGGAGTGGTAAATGCTTTAGAAACACTGCATAAAGGTGGTTCCCCTGACCCCAGGAGGACGTACCTTGTTGTACTCCCTGGTATCAGTCATTTTCTTGGTCAGGTTGACCTTCACAAACATGACTTGTGCTGAGTGCGCCAGCTGTTCATCATGTGAATCAGTCGACATATAGAACAGTAGATAGATGTACCTTTGAAGGAGGAAGTGCCCACTTCTATCAAACGCAGCAGGAAAAGCATTTCCTGATTTAGTCCCTTTAAATATCATTAGGGCCTGTTCCTCCTCCCGTCACTCGCTGCAGTATCTTCCTAAATGCCTTCTTTTCATCCTGTGGCGTCAGAGAACAGCAGCCAGAGAGCCAATAAGCCCAGATATCTACAAACAGCTTTTTCATTAGATGATAAAAGCAGTCAGGACTCAGTTGCTCATGAGAGCACAAATCTAAGAGGAAATTTCAGTTTCCTTGGGATGATGAACCTTCAACCTGTCACCCAGATATCCATGAGAGCCTGATATTCACTGGTGGGCACTGAATACAAACCACCACAGACCGAGAACACCTCAGAGATCCTGTTTTCTTGCCTGAGAACCACAGACAGCTGATTAAACGCAGCTTACACCTGGCTGTAAAGTGTGATGTGATTGCAGTGAGATAGAGCCTGACCACATGATGGTACAGGTGTAAATGATCCCCAGATGCACTGAGGACAGATGGATTGTGATGCGGTCGGCCAAACCACCTCCGGAGGTGGTCAGGGATGTATCGGGACTGAACTGTATAAATGCAGTTGCGCTGTCAGACCACATACAACAATGTGAGCGGACTGTTCCACACTAGTGAGGTAGCAGCTAGGCAGCTTAACAAGCGAGCACAATAACGCAGCTTCACGGATGGCTTCTTCTTTTGTGGTTGTGTTGTTTTTTTGGGACCTGTGCAGAAGAGAGGAGGATGTTGTGATGTGAGTTGGACAGAGATCAGATCTCAGTGTGGAGACGCAAGTTATCAACAGGTATAAATGTTCTGTCATCAGGTTAAAATCATATCTGGATACGAGGCTCATTTTAATCCCAGGTGTAGATGGAGCGACAGGGTTTGAGGTTGTTGTTTTCGGGGCGAGGAAAATCTTTTGTATGAAGGTGGTTCTATGACCAAACCAGAAGTGTGTGTATGAGGCCGATCAGTCCATCACACAGGACCATCTGTACCTCCATACGAGGAAGAAAATTTGTCTCTACACTGGTCAAGTTGTTAATTCAGATGAAAAAAAAATCAACATTTAAACCTTATTAACTAGGGATGCTCCAATCATGTTTTTTTGCTGCAGATACCGATCCTCTATGAGTGAAATCGGCCGATACCCATCATTTTTTGTCTTTTGTTATAGCAGCTGGTCTAGCGGGAGGTTAGTCTGTTTAGCTTTGTGGTGAACTGGGACCTCAAACCAGTCATCTGATGAAACGACCACAAAAACATGCTTTTACTTTGTTCAACAGAGCAGAACAAAACACTCCCAAAGAGCAATGCAACAAGTATCCGACGGTAACTGAATTACACAATGTGATAACTAATTAATTACATGTGTTAATTTATGTGAATTAACACAATTATTAACAAACTGAAAAAAATGAAGCATATTCAATAGGCTAAACAGTACAAATAGTCTGAGAAATAAAAGGCAATATGTCTCAGAGCATTAACTCAGTTGCATTATGCAAACTAAAGAATAATAGGATTTACAGTCAGATACAGGCTGCATTCAAATTGTAGGTATTTTATCATGGCATGCGTTGCAGATGGCGTATGTTATATCAGTCCCACACACTTTGTAAAAGTTCCACATGACCGACTTGTTTTGTTTTGGTGGCATGTTGGGCGCCAGCGCAGTGAACAAGGTGGGAGGCAGGACTACACTACACAGCACACAGTGCTTCTCTCAGCCACAGACAGTATTAACCACAGGTTATATTTATGGTGTTCGCTGACTAGAGGTATTAATTCCAATCTACTGATCAAAATCAGCTGATAATGATTGATGTAGGGGGTGTGGCACAGCGTCAGCAGATCCACAATCACTGTGGTGAACACACATCAACTTACATCTGTTAACTCATAATTAACGTTAGCGGTACTTTAAATTGCTTTGCTAAAAGCTAGTTTACTCTTTCAAGCATTTAACCTTAAAGCACAGGTACTGATTTATGTACAAAGAAAACCTTCTACAATCATCAATTTTGAGCAAAACTGCATTCTGTGGTTCATCTGAAGCTGAAGTGAGGTTTCAGCAGTCTGACCCCGACATATCAGGGAGGTGTCTTCATCCTCACTGTTGTGTGTAGGATTATTGCTGATGTTTCCCTCCACCGCGGCTTATTAAGGACACTGTGTGTGTGTAAACACATACTCAAAACAGGAACTCTGGAAGATACACACTTGATTTGACTACATTAGTTGGCACTGCATGCACCATAGCAGAAAAGTGATGTCTGGAAATACTTTGATAAAAAAGATGACAATAATGTGCAGTGAAAGATATGTGGCATTAAACTTGCATATCATGTTCTCCGACAGCGAAACAGTAGGCTTGGTCGGGGAGGTCCGTGTCCCACTGGAAACACAAGCTTGACATTGATTCCACTTGTGTTTCCAGTCGGACACGGACCTCCTGTGTTTCTTTTTTTAGGGTAAAAATATATTCATAAATGCGAGTAACAGAGTACTCGTTCATAAGGTGATGAGAGTACTCGAATATTGAAATTACTGAAAATGCCCATCCTTACGTTCAACATGTGCTTGTCAGTAGCCTGATGGGAGTAATGGTTTCTATTTACAAACCCACAAAGTAACATTCTGTGATGTCATGATGACAGACAGACAGATATCTCCATTTATTAGTAGGATGTTCAAATCCTACCGTGCTTATATATTTTATTTCTGACCAGGAAACAGTACCAGGTGAAGATTGGTCGTTGGTACCTTCCCACCATCCCGTACACTGTAAATAAAGATGAGTGAAAGTGTGAGCTGCTAAACCATCGCCATCTGGGCGGTGTATGACTCCGCCCCCAACTCCCAGCTAATCCAAATATGGTGGGACGTGTGGAGCTGAGACTTCGGTGCATACCAGTTTGTGACAAGCTTATGCTCACCCAACTGTCACTGAAAGAGGCCATAACTTTAAGCCTTAATAAAATGTTGTTTTTGTACCAGGCTGTAAACATGTTTATTTCTGCTGTAAAATTAATTAATAATTAATTTAACATATAATAATTATATTAACATGTCACCACATGAGCCAATGGGAACACAGGCTTCATTGCATCATAGTAAAGTCTGGGTGCTGTCTGACGGTGAGTTCAGGGACGTGCTGTACTGTGCAGCTCTGGACTCAGTTCACCTCAATTCACCTCACTGTGCTGTGGTGTAGAAAACAATTTTGACTGGATATCAACGTTTTTTACACAAATGTCCTTCCTCCAGCCTGTAGCGGGGTGTGTGTGTGTGCATACATGTGTGTGTTGTTGCTCTGAGGGGTTTTCTAACAACATGTCACCCTGCAATCTGAGGTTGTAGTCCATCAGATTCTGCAACCGGCTGCCACTGTAACCCCATATCTTCTGCTCCACACTCTCTTATTTAGCCCACAACACTCACACACACACACACACACACACACACACACACACACACACACACTGAGTTTTCCATCTCTCCAGCAGCAGCGCTCTGAGTGTGAGGGCTTTACATGTGAGCTGTCACTGCTTCCTTGAAAAGAAAAATCCCCTTTACATCTGGTTCAGATGGTTTTTCTCCGTCTGTGTGGACACAACCTCGCTGCTGGCCAAAGTGAAATGAACCTGATCTCCATGCCTCCACACAGTGATGTAATTAGAGGGGGGGTGGGGGGGTTGTAGGGTGCACAGGAAAAGCTAACACATCACAGTGAAGAGGTGAATGTGGTAACAGTGCTTCTGAACTGTAACTTTCAGTCAGACTTTTTAACTTAAGATAAAATCCACTTGTAGAGACTGAGACTGGTTTAATCCATTAATCTGCACCTGCTTTATTGTTGTTGTGAGGCCTTAGAAACGCCATTGTATATGACTGATTGAGTGATGAAGTTATACTATTGGTCAGACAAGTGTTGGAGTTTCCCCATTGGCTGTAAGCACAAAGAGGGGGAGAGAACAGACAGAGAGCTGAAACCAGCTAACACTAGACTGAGACCAGCTGATACTAAGCTGAGACCAGACTGAATGATGATACATCATGATGATGTCATGAATATGCTAATTTGCTACTTTTGCAATGACAGTAGTTGTTCACAGCGGTTCCAAAACACTTTTCAACTATGTTCTCACACATTGACCACACACAGTCCAGACAGATACTAGGTTTGGACCTGGTCTTGAAAATAAGTCTTCA